CTCTGCCCAGGCGGGTCTCGAACTCGCGGGCTCAGGCAATCCACTCACCTCAGCCTCCCAAAGGCGTGGGATTACAAGCTGAGCCACCAAGCCCGGCGTCCTTCACTTCTTAAGGGACCCCCACAGCCCCTTCCACTGCTCTGACAACCATGTCCTAACCCCGAAGCAGAAGCCCCCAGCTCTCAGGTCTGGTTTCTTGATGGGACTCAGGGTCACAGAGAAAACAGAACGGCTTTTCAGAATCATCCAGCCTCCATCTGATGGACAAAAATCCCCACATCACATCTTTGATGCTTCAGAAGCCTCTGGAAGCTCCACAGCTTGTGACTGCCTCTTGGGCAGAGCGGCTGCAGAAAGATAAGTCACGAAGAATCTAGCGAGAATGGAAGGATCAAACCCAGCAGACGAACAGGGTAAGGAACCAAACTGGCAAGAAGCCCCCACCCGGGGGGGTCTCTGGCCTTCACACACTTGCTCCTATCTCACCGTGGCTCACGGGGCAGCTCAGGAATGCAGTGGCCCCAGCTCAAGATGGCTACTCAGGGCCACGTGGAATGAGGGCCCCTGGGACTCTGACTAGTCCTGCTTGCGTCTGCAGGTTGCTGAAGCAGGAGATGCCGCTAGGCACAGTCAGCCAGCACTCACCGGGACATGCAGGAACGCTTTGGCTTCTGTCTTCTTCATGGTGTTTCCCTCCAGGGGCAGGCGCTCAATCTTCCCAGTCTGGGCGAAGAGTAAGTGGGTCCCGGGGGGCAGCGGGATCACAGCGGTAGGCACTGAGGGTCCCTGGTGAATCGGGGGAGCCACTGTACTCAGACCTAGGTGGCAGGAACTGTCAGTGAGTGGGACCTGCACGCACCAGGAACACACAGATGCACACCCAACATACACACGCACACCCACACGTGCATGCAGGCACACACGTAACACCCACACACATGCCTGCATGCAGCCCATACACACACCCACATACCAGGTCACATCACCTTCATGGCACCACAACCTGTACAGTCTCACAACGTTCATTTTACAGCCGAAAGCACCAGAAGCAGAAAGCCCTCAGTCAATCAGAGGGCATTTGTATAGAAGAAGATAATGCAGGGCATGAGTTTAACATCAAAGGTCGAGTGAAAAAAGTGGCTTGGTCATTTCACTTATTATTATTCTTATTATTTTTTTTTTTGAGTTGGAGTCTCACTCTGTCGCCCAGACTGGAGTGCGGTGGCCACTCCCGGCCACCGCAAGCTCAACCTGCTGGGCTCTAGCGATCCTTCCGCCTCAGCTTTCCAAGCAGCTGGAACTATAGGCGCATGTTGCCACGCCCGGCTAATTTTTTGATTTATTGTAGAAATGAGGTCTCGCCAAGTTGCCCAGGCGGGTCTCGAACCCGCGAGTTCAGGCAATCCACTCACCTCAGCCTCCCAAGGCGCGGGATTACAGGCTGAGCCACTGAGCCTGGCTCACTTATTAGTTTTTTAGAGATAGGGTCTTTCTCTATCCCCCAGGCTGGGCTGCAGCGGGGTGGTCATAGCTTACCGCAGCCCTGAACTCCTGGGCTCAATCGATCCTCCTGCCTCAGCTTCCTGAGTAGTTGGGCCTATAGACACGCACCACCACACCCAGCTGATTAGTTCTTATTTTATCAGAGATGGGCTCACTATGTTGTCGAGTCTGTCTTGAACTCCCATCTTGGCCTCCCAAAGTGATCCTCCCACCTTGGCCCCCCAAGTTTTTATAGACATAACTTGGCTGTTAGTGCTGTGCTCTGGATACTAAGGCCAGAGCAGCGAACCAAAACAAAAGCAGCAACAGCAATCGTGAAATCCCTGCCTGCAGAGAGTCACATTCTAGGGGAAGCAATTGAGCTTTTTAATGCTAGAAGAGCCTCTCAGAATGATCCTGTACCAGATATTCTATACCATACTCATGCCGCAGGGACGGGACCGTCTTAGACCTGACAGGCAGGAGATGCCACTTCTGGGTTTTCGAGCACAAAACGATGGTCAGGGGCTCCTTCTCCCTCAGAATTGGCCTTGCCTTCCTAACCGCTCACCCCAACCCTCCCCCCCACAATCCCTGACTCCCTTGACAAGACAATATCACAGGAGTGGCCAGATAGCCTATGCTGCAGGGTCAGGAGTGCGGACGGGGTGTCGGGAAACCAGGGCTCTGACCTGGCCGGCCACTCGCTTGCTGTGTGCACGGGACCTGCACCTTCCTGGGCCTCGTTTCCTGCTCTTGGAAGTAAGACAGCTGGACCAGGTATCCTCAAGGTCATTTTCTCTTGTCTGTCTTGCCTATTATACCCATCAGCAACATAAACCAATCTGGGGGGCCTCTTTCATGGCTCTGAAATCCACCCACTTCTCTGCCGAATGAATCCCAAGTCTGACACAGTCTCCGCCTCCTGGGCCAGGGGTGCCCAGGCCTCGGTCTCCCATTCCCGCCACCCAGCCAGGGACACTTCTAGAACAGAAACCGGCTTCGCCTGTCTCCTGCTCAAAACCCTTCCAAGCCCTTCCCATGCTCCCGGTGCCCTCATGACCGACACCCGGGCTCCTTCACGCCCTTCACGCATGACCTTGACCCCTTGCCATTGCTTCCCCACCTCCAGCCTGCCCCTGCGGCCTGAAGCACCAGCCTCAGCATCCCGACCTCTCCACACTGTTCACTCCCACTCCTGCTCAGAAATGTGGTTCCCAGGGTGTGGCTGCTGGAAAGCCTTTCCCCACGAGCCCACCGCCCCACACCAGCCAGGACCCTCCTCGGCTCCCCGGTCCCTGCCCACTCTCTCCTGGGGCTCATGTCCCTGCACTGTTCCTGTCTGCTCACCGCCCCCCCGGCCCCTGTTCAAGGTTCTTGGGGGCCCGGCACTGTGGCTTTCCTCTGAATATCCCCGGCACCCACCACGGTCAAAGACTGAGTGAATGCTGGCTGGGTGAATTAATGAAGCTTGTGAGTCCTCGTCTGTTCCTTAGCAGCTTTGGGAAAACATCGGGTAGGAGATCAATCTATGATTATTAGCTAGATTGAGAGTAGGGATTCGAGGATAGGTTATATCGACTTTTGGTAATGTGGACCAATTGCTACGTTTGTGATAGAAGCAGAACTTTAGAGCAGGGGAATGTGCTTGGGGTTATTTTGCTCATCTCTTAGGTGGAGGCGGAGGAACTGAGACTGGGGAGGGTCTCTGCCCAGAGTCACACAGCCCCCAGCATGGCGCCGTCCCAGTGCCTCTGGTGATGGTCCTAGAACCAAGTCTTGTGGAAACCTCTGTGGCTGCTCCTCGGATTTGAAAATTGACCTGAGTACCTAAAGGCCCCAGGGTGTGACCGAAGGAGACAAGAGTTGCAGGGGATGAAACAGGTCCCACTGCCCAGGAAGCAAGGCCCCGAGGAAGGGGTTGGGTTGGTTCCCACCATCCCCACCCAGGGCAGGTGCATTCCAAGGCCAGGTCTCCCCCTGCAGAGAGTTCTTCCGGGGGACCCAGAGCACACACATCCTCTCTGCTGCCGTTCCAGGAAGAAGGTGAGAAAGGGAGAGAGGAGGAAGAGGGGGTGAGTGGGGAGGGGGTTGTGCAGAGGGGAGGGAGTGAGATTGGAGCCAGTGGAGCGGTTGAAGTTTTAGGGCAGTAGGAAGCGACCAGTCTGCGTGCAGCAACCCTGGCCCGAGGCCCTGCCCGGACACAAACCCGGCCGGCCCTCCACTTACATGGGGGCCTCATCCCGGGCCTGGTCCTGGTGCCCTCCACCTCGCGGCCATCGCGATCCACACACCAGCAGTAGCCAGTGCTGCCGTGGCACTGGGTGGGCGTGTAGTGTCCATGTGCGTCACACTCGGGGACAAACAGCCCCGGAGGCCTGGGCCGCTGCACGTCAGCCAGCCCCGCTGCCCCGAGGATGTGTTCTCGCTCTTGCTGGCACCGGGTTTTTTCCACCTCTGTCAGAGAAACAAGCAAACAGAGAGCCGTCAGGTGTGTCACCCGCCAGTGTCCTGGGTGGGGAATTGGCGGGGGGAGGCTTCAGGAGTCCCCGTGCCTCACTCAGAGCCACCAGGGCTGCCTGGACATCACTTGGTTGTGTTCTACTCATTTTTCAAAACTTAAAACATTATTACTGAATGGATTTAGTTGTCAAGAAGATTGCATTTTCTTTTTCTGCTCCCAAGCAGTTTTTTATTTTTTAAAACTCGAGGCATGATTGATATAACATAACATGAACCATTTTTGAGTAAACCATCCAATGGCATTTAGTATACTCATAAGACTGTACGACCACCACGTCTATCTAGCTCCAAAACATTTTCATCCCCCAAAAGGATATGTATTAATCGGTTGCTCCCCATTTCCACCTTCCTCCCAGGCCCTGGCACCACCAATCTGTATCCTGTTTCCATGGACTTACCATATAAATTTCATATAAATAGACAGTTCATATAAATAGAATCAATAAACACGAAACACGTGACCTTCTGTATCTAGCAGAACATTTCCAAGGTTTATCTGAGTGGTGGCATGCAATAGTACTGGCTTCCTTTTTACGGTTGAATAATATTGCACTGTATGGATGGACTGCATTGTGCTGATTCACTCATTCATTGATGAACATCATTGGGTTTTGTTTAAGAAATTTAAAATTTCTGCTGAATGTGTCCTTTTTATCATTTCAAGCTTCTTGTTGACCTACACCGAGTCAAGGCCAAAGACTTTGGGGACCAGATACCACCAAGTGTGTTTACCAATATTTGTGCGTTCCCCTTTTAATGACATCCTACTGTCTGACATGAAACTTGACTCTTAAACTTTGAAACTCAGATCTTAAAAGAAGAAAATACAGTCAGCACTCCGTATCCATGGATTCCACATGTGTGGGTTCAATCACCATGGGTCAAAAATATTCGGGAAAAAATAAAGAATGGTGTGTTTGTACTGAACATGTATGGTTTTCTTACCATTATTCCCTAAACGATGCAGTATAACAAACTTTTTACACAGCCTTTTCTTTGTACTAGGTACCACAAGTAAGCTAGGGATGATTTAAAGTAGACGGGAGGCTGTGCAACGCAACCGTGTAGCCAAAAACTATTTGTACCCCCTAAAGCCATTGAAATAAAGAAAAAAAAAAGTAGACGGGAGGAAGTGCATGGGTTATATGCAAATACTACTCTACTTTTAAATCAAGGACTTGAGTATCTGCAGGCTTTGGAACCCCCAGGGGATCCTGGAACCAATTCCCCATAGATACCAAGGGAAAACTGTTCTTCAATATCTGTGGAATTGCTAATAAAAACCCATGGCCTGGGCCGGGTGCGGTGGCTCAAGCCTGTAATCCCGCACTTTAGGAGGCCGAGGTGAGAGGATTGCCTGAGCCCACAGGTTTGAGAACAGCCTGGGCAACTTGGTAAGACCTCATCTCAAAAAAATTAGCCAGGCACGGTAGCACACGCCTGTAGTTCCGGCTACTTGGACGGCTGAGTCGGAAGGATCACCTGAGCCCAGCAGGTGGACACTGGGATAGCCAGGAGCATACCGCTGCACTCCAGCCTGGGCAATGGAGTGAGATTCCAACACACACACACACACACACACAAAAGCTATGGCCTGGAATAAACATCTCCCAAATATAGAGTTGTAGCTGGTTTCACACTAGCTGGAATCCAACCGCCAGGAGGGCCAGGCCAGCCAATACCACTGAGGTATCGACCACACAAAGTGATGTCCAGACATTGGTGGGAAGTACTCATTCTCCACGCCCCTGACTGCGGAGAACTGTCCTTCATCTGTGTCTCATTGCCTCTTCCTTCCAAGCCTTTCCACGTGCTGTTCTTTATGTGACCTCCTCCTTCCTCTGGCCTGGTTAATCCTTCAAGAATCAGCCTAGGCATTTTCTCCCCTCACGAAGCCTGCCCAGGCCCCCAAGGCTGGGCCCAGTGCCCCTTAGCTCCCAGGGCACTCTGGGCTTGCCTTCGCTGAAGTCCCCGTCACACTGACTCTAAGGAGCTCTTCCTTGTCTGTCTCCCTGCGCAGACTCTAGGCTGGAAGAAGTGACTGAGTCTCCTCAACCTTTAGTCAAGAAGCACTTGCCAGGCTGGAGTGGGGAAGGCACCCAGGAGTAACCCCCAGGGCCTGTCCTCAGGGAGCTCACAGTCTGGAGGGAAGTGAACAAGTAAACATAGTGGGTGAATGCCTTGACAGAGGGGCCCAGGACACAGCAGACACACAGAACAGATCTTCTTCCACAGGACATGAATAGCAGAGGGGCACCTAAGTGCTTTTGTTGATGACTAGAAGATTGTGGTTGAACAGCTCTAGGGCAGGACTTGGCTGACTCTTTCTGTTAAGGAGCAGAGAGCAAATAGTTTCAGATTTGTGAGCCGTAAAGCCTCTGTCACAACTATCCAACTCTGTGGTTGTGGCATGAAAGCAACCATGTTTAATACATAAATGAGTAAGTGTGGCTGTTCCAAGAAAACTTTATGTATAAAAACAAGCAATGGGCCACATTTGGCCTATGGGGACTATAGCTGACAAGCCTGCTCTAGGGTATAACTAGTTATGTTAGGAGGAAACTATTCATATGTGTGTATTAGTTAATGCATATGAATTAATTAAAATATGTCTGGAAAAATTTAATTAGTAAACTTTCTTGTGGCAGTTTTAGGCTTATAGAAAATTGAATGGAAACAGAGAGTTCCCATAAGCCCCCTCTCCTTCCGCCCATAAGTTCTTCTGCTATTGACATTGCTGGGGTATATTTGTTATAATCGGTGAATTGATACTAACACATCATAATGAACTCAAGTTCATAGTTAAGATTCACTCTTTGTGTTGTACAGTTCTGTGGATTGTGCCACATAGAACATCCACTATTACAACATCACTGAGAAGTTTCACTACCCTACAATGTCCTGCGTTCCACCTGTTCATCCCTCTCGAGTCAGATGATTCTTTTCTAGGATACGCATTCGATGTCATAAGTTTACATCTAAGCACTCCTTTTACCACATCCCACACATGTTGATAGGGTTTTTTTGTGTGTGTCGATTTAGTTCAAAAGATATATTTTTTAGATTTCAATAGTTTTAGGGGGTACAAACAGTTTTTGGTTTGGGCTTAAGTGTACCCTCCCTTCTGGGCACATTGTACCCAGTAAGTGCCTTGAAAATGTTTGCGATTCTTGGTTCCATCACTTCTGGTATTACCTTGGGCATGTCACAGTACCGACAAGGCTGTACACCCCCTGCAGCTGTGGAAGGGAGTAACTCATCTTCCAGTATTGTCTGAGGAGTAAGTGGGATATGATAAGACAATGCACACAGACTTTGAAGCTCTGCACTCAGATGCTCATTTGTGACTGTAGCTATATGAGGCAGATACGGTGACATTCGGTGGGTGTGTTGCCAATGAATGTTTCAAGTATCTTTTGTCTGTGTTGCTAATTCTCATGTCAGCCTGCTTTAATGTGGCTAATTAGAAGCTGCTATCATGCCAGAAAAGGGTTTGTTGAACCTGGCAAGGGAAAACTGTGCACGCTTTTCTTTTATTCTTGAGGCTAGCATAATAAACAAAACAAAACATTTGATGTAGAAAGGACCAAACAAAGATAGGAATAAGCCATCTGGCTAGAATTTAAAACGCCGGGTTTTGTTCACTCTTGGATGTAAAACTTGTTTACTTCCTCAAAATCTTACACTTGTACAGGGTTTTAGAGTTTCCGCATAAGCTGACCTCATTCACATGTATATTTCATTTATTTCCCATTACAATCCTGTGGTTTTGACACCTAATAAGAAAGCGAAGCTCACAGAGATTAAGGGACTTCCCCAGGCCACAGCATGGGAAGGTGACTCCATTCAAACTAGAACCTGGGTCTCTGAGTTCCTGGTCTAGTCCCTGCTCCTTCTGGACTGGCATTTCAAATCCACATCCCCAGTGCCCAGGATGCCTCCCTCACGTTGAACATGGCTTTTTTCTTTCCCCCTGGAGTCTCACTGTGTCACCCAGGCTGGAGTACAGTGGCACATTCACGGCTACCACAGCCTCGACCTACTGCATGGTTCAGGTCATCCTTCCAGCTCAGCCTTCCAAGTACCTGGAACTACAGGCGCCCACCACCATCCCGGCTAATTTTTGGATTTATTGTAAAGACAGGGTCTCACCAAACTGCCCAGGCTGGTAGTTTGGAACTCCTGGGCTCAGAGAATCTTCTCGCCTCTGCCTCTCAAAGTGCTGGGATTACAGGTGCGAGCCACCGTGCCCAGCTGCATTGAACATGTCATGTCAAAGCTGATAGACACATATTACCTTAACACACTCACCGAAATTATCTGTGAGCCTACAGACTCATTTTCCTACCATCAGCCTCTGTATACAGTGGTGCTTTTCCCGTAAGAAAACAGAACTGGTGTACTGTGCACTGTCAACCCAGCCAAACTTTTGAGCTTGTTCCATTTTACGTGGCTGACAGAGTTCTGGATTAACACGGTGCCTGGTCAACATACAAAAATCTCAAGTGATCTGCAGTTTACAGAGGAACTTTCAAGGGCTGTACCTTGAACTGATAAAAAGAAGGAGGAAGCCTCAAAATGTACTCAGGATGTGGAGCTTCAAGTGTGTTTATGGAAAGCTGTGATCTCCGTGGGCTTCCTGGGTTGGTTCCTGAGCCTGACCGGCAGGCAGTAAAGGCAGCCCAAGGGCTCCAGGGGACCAGTTCCCCTGCTGGGGATCCCTGCTGAGGCCTCCAGGTCCCCATGGGGCATTTTCCATGAAAGGCCTGGTGGATGGGGTAGGAGAGGTGGGGGTCATAAAGCCACACTTCCTAGGCTGGTTTCTGGTTGATAAAATGATGATTTGGGCAAGCTGCTTCTTACTCATCTGATTTGATCTACTGGGGAAGGAAGCATCTAAGACCTGATACTTATCTGTGGGATGGCAAGAAGTC